CTCTTCCCGCATGAGACCAAACTACAGGGTGCCTTGGCCTTCCGTTAATTCTCAGTGTTTGGCAGAAGTCAGGGCACCTCTGCTCAGCCTAAGGGTGGAGGAGTTGCACCGCGCAGACAGAGGGGGTCAGAAATGTGAACGGGTTGCCCCAGGTGACCCGACCACAGCCCAGACGACGGATGTATGGCCTGAAGGGCAGGACTGAGCAATCGCTGGGATATTTTGCTCTTGCAAAGGGAGCAGTAACACTCCATTTTTAGTGCCGAAGCCTGCTTGGATCCAATCAGTGCCGGCAGGCAGAGAGAAGACTGTAACTCACTCCTGCTCCCTTTCCTGTCAAAATGCAACTCGCAAGCTCTTGGTAACTCACATCGGCCAAAGCTGGGGCACCCCTGCAGAAGGGACCCACAAATGGAGAGAAGACTGTAACTCACTCCTGTTCCCCTTCCTGCCAAAATGCAACTCGCCAAGCTCTTGGTAACTCAGATCAGCCAAAGCTGGGGCACCCCTCCAGAAGGGACCCACAAACGTTTTGTCTCTGACTCACCAGGGAAAGAAAAACGGGCAGTTCCACAATTCAGCTGAATTTTCTTCTATTATAACATCTGCCAGGTCTGGATCCTGGGACTGAAATTGCTTCAGTTCTTCATAGGAGAGAGACCGCCCCGTCTTAAATGACACAAAACAAAGATAAAAGCTCCTGCCCCTCCCATGCCACCAAACAACACCCAAAATGAACAGCCCTCTAGATTGCTAAGTTTGGTAATGAGTCAGAGGAACAACCTGCTGAGGATGCAGCGAGTTCCTCACCCCCTGACATCTTCAAACTGGGCCTGAACATCTTGTTCTACCTCAATCAGGAGTCTGAGTTTGCGGTAATACCAGCCGGGGTCTTCAGCTGGTGCCATTCGAGAGTTCAGACTCCTCACCCAGCCTTACCGATCCATGCATTACCTTGATGAGAAAAGGCTGAGACCCCTGGAGCTTTTCGGAGAGTTCTCCCAAGTCTGTCACTATCTGGAGGCTTTCCACAGCAGAACAGACTGTGCAGTTTGCGGGAAGCGTGGAAGTGTTCTGTCTGCAACCTGCTGCCCACCAGTCCTGGCATTCTTGGGGAGAAACAAGAGAAAGATCTTTAATAAGACCAAAAATGAAATGGAAACACCACAGATTTGATAAACTCATTACTCCTAATATGAGACACAGATTTCTTACAGCTTCCAACGGCTGTAAGTTACCCAAAAAGAGCAAGGGCGGGAACTCATCACAGAATGTTTCCAGCACAGGCTGGACTGCGGCGATACGGCTCAGGGTCGTGAGAAATGGGACAGCTTTAAGAAAATGACACTTCCCTGTGTAAGTGAGGCATACAGGCTGAGCTACCCTTCCCTTCTCAGTAGAAGGATGGCAACTGATGTGTATGGGGCAACCGAACTGAAACAGGTCCGCAAGCAAAGAGCGATGGAACAGGTCTGCCAGGAGACACCAGGAAAACAAAAACCAAAGATCCAGGTTGAAAGAGTAACTCATCACTGCTGCCATGCACCCTATTAGGACACTCCCAAAATTGCTACCCTCCCCTTTGCCTTTGTGTTAACAGGGTGTGCTGGTCTGGGCTGGGACTGAGTTAAGCTCTTCACAGGAGCTCGCACGGGGCCATGCTTTGGATTTGTGCTGAGAAGAATATTGCTAACGCTGACGTTTTCAGCTGTTGCTACAGAATGTTTATACCAACGCAAGTTTCTGATACTGCCCCTGTGTTCCCAACTTCCCTGCAAGGAGCTGGGAGGGGACACAGCCCGGAGAGCTGACCCAAACTGACCAAAGGGACATTCCATGCCATAAAACACCCTGCTCAGTATACAAGTTGGGCTTGGGCCGGGGGTCCTTCTCACGCTCCCTTGGTTGTGCTCTCACTCGCTGGGGCTCTCTCTGGCGCGATCTCTCTCTCGGGGTCTCTGGCTCTTGCTGCTTGGGACCTGGCTGGCATCAGCTGGCAGGTGGTGAGCAATTGTATAATTTATTTTCATTACCTATTATCAATAGTAGCGGTGGTATTATTATGTATTAGTAGTAATATTAGTATTGTTAGTATTATTGGTATCACTATTTTATTCATTTATATGCAGTTATTAAATTGCTCCTATCTCAACCCACGAGTTCCCTTGTCTTCTCCTCCAATTCTCCTCCTCCACTGGCAGAGGGGGAGGTGAGCAAGCAGCTGGTGGTACTTAGTTGCCAGCTGGGGCTAAACCACGACACTAAAAGACTCTGTCCCGGGTGAAGTTTGCCCACTCTCTGACAGTGCAGAAGACACTGGGGAATGTGAGATTTCACCAAGATGTGCTACCACTGTTTTCATTCATCTCATCCACTGGCTTGAAGATGAAATGAGGAGAAAAGTCCCAGCACAAGGAACCCCTGGACCACAGCTATATCCATTTTAAAATTCCAGCGATTGTTCTTACACCACAATTGGCTCAACTGGCCTAGAATGAACACTGCATATGCTTACATCTTCAAAACCACAATTTTTACGTGAAGCCATTACTTGATGCCTATATCCTGCCTCCCTCCTCCAACCTAACAGCCCTCCCAGCACAGAACAAGTAAACACACGCTAACACAAGAGGCCTGTTGCAGCACTGAATGAACAGGACAAGGGCCGATAATGCTGAACGCCCCTCCTTCTACGCTAAAGGATCTGCAGGAGCAGCTGCCACACCAAAAGGACGCGGCTCTAATTCTGCAGCAGCACAGCCCTGGTTCTGCAGCCTTAACCCGACGATGTTTAACTCACGCAGCGACAGCAAACCCACCCGGGCGCCTGATCTCTCAGGGTGGGTTAGGAAAAACCCAAAGCTGAGGACACACCTCACACGAAACATCCAGAGATCCATCCTCACGACAGGCCCACCCGCACTGTCCAGTGCCAGCACATGTCAGAACGGCTCATGTCTCCTGGACACGGCTGCAGGCCACCCACTCGGGATGGGAAAGGGGAGAAAAGTGACAGCGAAGCCTGTCTGAAAAATAAACGTATTTAAGATGCACAGCAGCTTTCCAGGGGAAAAAACCCACTCACACGCAGCCTGCCTGTTACTGCCAGCGTGGTTTCCAGTCACACTCATGCTCCTGCATGTGGGATGTAATTGATGAACAGCACTTAATCGGAAAGCCCTGGTTTTATTTTTCCCTCAGACATCTGCAGCAGACAATGAGGAAGGTTAGAGAGGATTTAGGTCCATTGGGACATAATAGCAAGGTGCAGATTGGGACTCATTTTACTTTTTTCTTTTCAAATATTTCCAATCAACTCCCAAATGCTGCACTTCCCATCCTATTGCTGGGATAGGGACTGAAAGGGACCAGGATGTAATTCTGGAAGACGCATCTACACTGCTTTCAGGGAAAAGGGTAAAAAGGCAAAACCAAGTGTAAAACCCTTATTGCAAGCAAAAGTCCCAACTCCCATGAGAAACTGCTCCAACGTACTTTCCCTCCCTGCTCACAAGGGAAAAAAGAACATCTTTGTTCCGCTGCCTGTAGAAAGCTTCAATTTTACGACAACAAAAAACCTCAACTCTCAAAAAACAGCTGGTCAGTGACAGGAAACAAAAGGCTGAAAGATCCCACCAGAGGAAGGGCTGTTGCCACGAAGAGACCAAGACGACATATCTTATGGTCTCTGATGCTACAGGGGGAAACAATACTGTAATCTTTTTTCTGGGACAAAACTTAGAAACCTCATCCCAAAGCATTAAGCAGAGTTGTCCCAAAATTTCCTCTCTGGGCTCAGGGCAGTACCCCACGTAACGGGATGCTAATCAGCTTGACAGCATAGAGCTTGATTCCTCTTTTGAGCTAGGCTGGGATATTTGCATTCTCAATTGCTCGATTCAGGAGGTTATTTCTTTTCCCCATGAATAACCCAAGCGGAGCACGGTTGAGACGCATTTCAAATGCCGCAAGTGGGGTTGTGGGATTTTGGGTTGGTGCTGGGTTGTGGAGGTTTTTTTTGGTAATTAATCTTTTAGATTTATTGTTGAGGGTGTTAGCCTGTGCACCAGCATGCGTGTGACTGGCATGACAAGTACGGGCAGCGAGAAGCGTCTGCCCTTCCCAGGGAGGGAGAAGAGGCCGTGCGCGGAGGAGAGGGCACGCATCTGCACACTGGGGACCAGAGCAGGAGTTCTACCCAGGATGCTTATTCTCTCTTTCGATTACCCTCCCTGCATTCCTTTTACATTATCACCCTGCCCAGACACCCCGGGGGATTATTTTGGTTTAAGTCAAGCGCGCTGCCTGTGCGCACGCAGCGTCTGCTCGGAGACCGGGGATCGATGCGCTCTTCGTCCCAGTGCAACCATCACACGATGGTCCCATCCACTCACGTTCACATGCTAAAGTGCTGGGCGTGGGCAATTATCCCCGTGGAGTTTGAGCGCAGGGAAGCAGCTGGAGCACCGACACGTACGACTATCCATTACGCGACAGAAGCGCCGGCCAGTCCCTTCACGCTTGTGCTTTCTCACCCCTCTTGGAGGAGCAGCTTTCAGTCTGTTAAGCAGAATCTCAGTTTCCCATCGCTCATACCCACCTAATATTTGCTCTTATGCTTTATTAGTCCTCCAGGACAAGAGCTGTCTCCTCCCTGGTGTCAGGATAACTGCGAGCAGAGCCAGGGCTGCGGACTTCCAGCCGCTAACACAGCGCAGACGGAGAGATAACAACCTTCCTTAAAACGCACCCATGAGTAATGCTAGAAGGAGTTTATGACTGTACTTTCCACTATGCAGAAAAATAATTTTCAACTTAATATCAGTTTAAAATGAGTACTCCGCCCTTCTTGGCCATTTTCACAGAGGATCTCCCAAATTTCTGGCTGTCCCCACAACTACAGAGGGGTGTGTGCGCACAACCCCAGAGATGCTGGGTGTGGACGACCAGATTGGAAGCTACGAGGTTACTGAGAAGACCTGGCCCTGCTTCTGCCCGTTGCAGCGAAGCAATAAAACTAATGGCAACTTGCCCACATCACTGAGAGCAGGGCCTCAGCAATGGCCTTGGTCTCTTTAGAGACTGCATGGAGGGCGAAGTATCAGTCTGGCACTGCAGAAGGTTCAAAGGGAAGCCCTGTAGCATGGGGACCTTTTGCTCCTGCAAGACACACAGAACCAAGGCCTGCTCCTGGCCCTAACTAAGTGTTGGAAATGTAAAACCTCCTGCCTGTACACCTGCAGGTGCTCAGGCAGCTTGCTGGCTCCCCACCAGGCTGGTTTGCTCCCCAGCACTCAGGACTGCGAGGTTGAAGAAATCTGCAGCAAGCAAGCGACAGCAGGTCTGCATGGGAAAGTCCACATCGGGGGAAAGGAGACTCTCCCAGGGCTCCACAGCCCCCCCGGGTCTGTCCTGGCTGTTGCTACCATCACCCACGATACCTAGAAGAAAGCACCCCAGGGGGCTGTCTAATGCACTAAGCAGCTGCACAATAACAGAATCCCAGACTGGTTTGGGTGGGAAGGCACCATAAAGTTCATCCAGTGCCACCCCCTGCCATGGGCAGGGACACCTTCCACTAGACCAGGTTGCTCCAAGCCTCATCCAGCCTGGCCTTGGACACTCCCAGGGATGGGGCACCCACAGCTTCTCTGGGCAACCTGTCCCAGGGCCTCCCCACCCTCTGCGGGAAGAATTCCTTCCTGATGTCCCATCTCCATCTCCCTCTTTCCATTTAATCCTGTCACCCCTTGTCCTGTCACTCCCTGCCCTTGTAAAAAGTCCCCCCCAGCTTTCTTGTAGCACCCCCAGGCAGTGGAAGGGGCTCCAAGGTCACCCCGTAGCCTTCCCTTCTCCAGGCTGAACCCCCCAACTCTCCCAGCCTGTCCCCAGGGCAGAGGGGCTCCAGCCCTCGGAGCATCTCCGTGGCCTCCTCTGGACTCACTCCTATCTGCAGACGTTGTTTCCAAATCCCCAATTCCTTGTCCCGACGATGACACTATTCCCCAGTCCCACCAGAAACCCCACTAGGGACAGGGCTGGGAGTATCTGAGCAACTGCAGCAAGCCTAGCATGAATTCACAGCTCCCCAGGAAGACTGGCCTGCGCA